ATTGTACAGCGGCATTAAGTGCCATAATGTGCACCTCTGCCTACCCCTTCGGGGATAAAAGGCGTGATGTTATGTTATGTTATGTCAACATAAAAACGTCCACTGCTAGACAATGATCTCAGTTTTCAGGAGTACAATTACAGATTCGTTTCAACTTTAATTGAGGATTCTTTGAACTGATAAATAAAAGGATGCTGCTGCCCGTTCTTCGGGGGCTGGTCGCAGTTTTGAGATACATGTACCTATAGGTACAAAATCTATTTGCACGGTTGGCGCGGTGACTGGGCAATGCAACGTGTATTATGTTCGACTGCCGCACGAGACAACTGTTTGTGAGATCCACAAATTGTTATTTCGTGTCTGGATGTCACGTGTATGTGAACTTGTATGTTTGTAAACGCACCCACGACGCAGGGGAAAATCCTAGTGTGGGCTAAAGTTTAAATAATAATCTATGTAGGTATAATAACAACAAGAAGTAAAAAATATACTTATGCAAGTTCCAAGCACCTTAAATTAAAATCATCGAATGACTTCTCCCGCCCGGATGAGGCGAGAGGGAGTGTCAGACTCTTACTGACGTCGAGTCTTTCGCGGCTCCGTATCGGAATCAGCCCTACTGGGGCGTGAGGAGTTTAGTTCCCTCATGCGCTCCGCCTTCTCCTTAGCTGGCATGACTGCTTCGCAGAAGGAGGTGACGGCAACCCAGTCCCCCTCGATCCGTACCATGGTCTGAATCAGAGCCGGACACGGCGGTTCACGCAGGGCACACCGCCGCCACCGTATGCTCCACCGTTTCCTCTCGGCCCTCGCAGTGATAAGTTCCGAGTATCTAGCAAGTTTAAGCGACTTACCTATAAGATGTACCTTCATTGCATAAAAAAACTAAAACCGTAAGACTAATAATATCGACTGATTAATTTCATAGAAGGATCCAAGACATTTATTAACTAAAAATTATGGGTTACTTACAGAAATATACTGAGGTAAGTTCTACTACTTTTGTTTCATATTCTTCCACATGAGCAGCGTGCGCGGTCGTAGCGATGTCGCATTCAATCATTTTTTATATATTATTACAGATTAATTCTCCACGGACTCGAGGTCCCCTTGTCATACAATTTTTTTTTATCATAATACATCTAGTCAATTTTTATAAAGTAAAGAGGGTACCTAGTTACACACTACAATTAACTACATCTATAATTATTACCAAAAGTATAAATTACATAATAATTAAGGATTATCTACTTATAAGGCTTCATGAAATCAGCCCACCAACAATATGGGAGAGCCGACCTGACCCAGCAGAAGGCACCCGTTCACGAGTTTGACGTGTATGTCAGCAATTGGTCCGGTCAACCTTTTTATTGGGAACGGAACAACCCAACACACAGCGCCACCGACTGTAGGACATTTATGTGTGCATGACGCCTCAACCCTTGCCACATTGGCCGATTTCAATAAAGCTTACAATAGTCCAAATTCAATAGGTTATTTTCTATTTCTACATGTTTCTGCATACACATTTCCTCATGTAGAATTCGTTTCGCCCAAGAGAGCACCCACAACTGCCGCGTCCCTGTGTTTGATAGCCATTTTCAGGTTGTAGTCCTTAATCCCTTGCTCATTTTCATCAGCCGCCCTCCTGATTAGTTTGCTTATCGCGTCTTCACTGTTGTCTGTGTAATAGATGCAACCATGCGTGTGACGCGATATTGCTACTACCGCGTGTGGTACGCTATCATGTATTTGATGTTTCGCACACGAAAGTCGCTGTGCCTCGTGTATTGTGAGCACGCGTGATCCCACGGTCGACCCATATCCCTGGTTCTTAAGGGATTCCTTCTCTACCTGAGTGTGTACCAGGTATAAAGTGTCGGGGAGGGACTTTGGAATCATCGCCCCCGAGAACCTTTTTATCTCGAGGGATCTCACGAACGACCTGGACGAGTATATGCCACTGTAAACTGTGCTGAGGGCATACGCCACATCCATTGGATTTCTATGGGTACACATCAATTCCTGGCTTATGGATGTGATATATGTAGAGCGGCTGTAGAGCAGAGGGAAGAGGTTATCACGGTCTATAAACGGAAGCTGATTAATGTCACCAATTAGAAGGACTTCCTTGGCTCGAGTTATTCGGGCGGCCATCACAACGGCTCCAAAGTGGTTCATGACAGCCTCATCTACCATTAGTCGATGGCAGCTCTCTCGCTCCCCCAAGCCATTCCAACCAGGATGGACGCCATTGTTCGAACCTTGGATTTGACGAGTCCTCCGATTCGGCAGGATAGTTTGCCTCTGAGATCATTTGCAGTTTCGCGTTCAAGGTGTTAATATTGAACTTTATAGTTTGGTAATAAAAATTAAAATTTCGAATTTTAAATTTTGGACTAGCTTGAATGCTGGTTGGACGTCTGTAGGTATCTATTAGGGTTCGGGATTCGCTCTCTGGTCCTGCCCTGGCCCTGCACTGGTGACATACCTTCCTAGTGGTATCTATCAGTAAAATATAAGATACTTAAAAACCTTCCAAGAGAAACTAAGAACCCCTAATTAATTATTCATAGACTTAGGTGGTCCAAACACGTAAGCTAAGCTACATTTTTGATAGGTGTAGTACTTAATAAGCACAATTACTACTTAGGTATACTTACTTTTTATGTTTCTCTAAAGCTTTTCAACTGTTTAAATCTTAATTAGGAAAGAAGATGTTAATAAATTAAATTCTCCTGATAAGGTACCTATTCACAATATTATGATAGTTTGTTAGTTTGTAGACACGTTATCCAGAAGGTATAGGGATGAACTTATAAGAAAACTTAGCTATTGGAAGAGGAGTTTTACTGTATAATATAGAGTGAAATAAAATTTACTTACTTATTAGATTACTGACTGTAGCCCGCGACTTCGTCCGCTTAGAATATAATTCCTGTATTATCCCATGGGAGCATATAATCGGGATAAAAAGTCTGTTGGTATTCAGCTTATACTTTGCCTGTATACCAAATTTCATCAAAATTCGTTCAGTAGTTTCAGCGTGATTGACGGACAAACATCGAAACAAAGAAACTTTCACGTTTATAATATTAGTGTGATTATAATGAGTCTAATTTTTAGGGAGAGGAATTTTAAATATGATTAGGACTGGCTCGTTGGCTGAGTGGTCGCAAGTGCGACTACCGGGCAAGGGGCAAGGGATTTCGGGTTCGATTCCCGGTTCGGGCTTATACTGGGTTTAAAAAAAAATCTCAGTAGTAGCATGGAGGCTACCTATTACATGGGACTCATAACATAAATAGTGAAAAGTGGGTGTTACATTGTACAGTGGTATTTAGAGTTATAATGTACACCTCTGCCCATTCGGCTATAAAAGGCGTGATGTTATGTTATGCTTTGAAGCACCGTTTTAATTGACCATTTTAATTTTTACAATTTACCTTTATGGTTGATGAGTATGGGTTGGTTGGTGCTGTTCCAAATTTAATTGATTTTAGCTATTTTATACATACCTATAATAAAGTCTATGGACAATTTTCATGGAAGAATTTTAGGCACAACCGCAATGAACAACACAGTACAGTAAGTATACATAGTCATTACACCAAACTACTTACCTAAGTATAAGTTAAGTTAAGGGTATCTTGCTTTTAGAACATACAGGGTGTAGACGGAACTCTCCCGAATCACGCAGACAGTTAATGGTGTAAAACAAGTCTATTTTCATATAAATAAGGAATAGCGAGGGTAGTTTCCAAGGTAAGAAAATTAAAAATCTTATTAGTCCGTCAGTTAGATAATGATTTTTTTTTATTTTCTCGTATAAAGTTACAATACGTAGATAAAATGGAGTTTAGTATAGGATTGGGAGGTAGTTACATCATAACGCGCTACATTTTGTAGCACGCTGTGACGTACACGACATTTAAAATTAATGGGTATATCGTCGAATGCATTTAATTTTATGATAAAAGAAAATAAATACGTGTCTAAAGTTTTTAATTAATGTATCGGACGGACATTAAAATAAAATTTGGGAAACTACCCTAGTTGGAATCAACTGCTCAAGGCTGAAGTTGCATGAATAACACAAACACAAACAAAAACGATTACAATTTGTAAAGACAATTTCTTTTAATCAGCGTTCGGGAACGTTATATTTACACCCCCTGTATACATTGTTCTAACACCTAGACTTATGTTCTGTCGCGGAGAACCTAACGGGTAACCGGGGCTCCGACTCGACGTGCAGGAGAAGGAACGGGGTGGTTTTTAGTCAGTAAGAGTCTGACACTCCCTCCCGCCTCACCCAGGCTGGAGCAGTCATTCGATGATTTTCCCCCCTTAAAAAAAAGACTTATGTTCTAACAAATAATTTGAAATAATCAGAGTTGAAACGTAATACGTAATGACAAGTTCTACATTATATCGACGTTTTAGCTCAGAAAAATCTACACAAACGAAACCATTTTGAAATAAAAACACGAATAAAATAGCGTTCAAATGTAAATCCAAAGAGATTAAGTAATCTCGTTCCAGCCATTCCATGTCTACCCAATAAAGACACCAGTACCGTAGATACGTATTCCACAAGTTAAGAACGCGGTAACTACCATAAACCATTCTATTGCCCACTTACAGCTGACCAAGGCTTCTTGGCATGGGAAGAAAAGAAGTCGAAACGAAGCTGATTTGCGGATTCCCGTCCCGCCCAACATTAGCCCCGCCTACGGTTCTGGGCGGCTGGCGCGAAAACCCTGGATTTATTGCCAGTATGCACCGAGTCGTCGACAAGGACGCTCCCGAATTGTCAGTTACCGTATGTTAGTTTACGAGTGTATGCGGAGCTGGAGTGAACAGGTGCGTACTATTACATTTTTTAATCATTGTTTTTTTTTATAATAATAAGAATTACAAATAAATACTAAAAATACTTATAGGTACTATGTATTAGGTATGTACTTATAATAATAATTTTACTAATATATGTAGGTATAATATGTATTTTGCTGTCACTAAAAGTTTGTTAAACTGCTAAAACTGCATTTTTCAGTCCTGTAATTATTATTGAGATTTACCTACGCATGTACTTTATTTCGCTAAAAGTTCTTAGATTTGTAGATTATTATTAATAGGTACAAAGAGTATTTTGTTAAAATTACATTCGGAGATATAAATAGGGACCTATTTATTGACATATTGGTCTGGAAGAAATCGCCGCGTGTGATAAGACCGCCCATTGTACTCAAATTACTATTAAAATGTTTACAATTTTTCTATGTGTGCAATAAAGTATATATAAATAAATAAATAAATAAATATTGGTTTTGGAAACAAATATTTCTAATGGATAATTTCTGTAATTAAAAAAAGTCAAGGAAGTAGAAGGTTTTTCTTTAATTCTATGAACTGATTAAACTACTGAATATAAAGTTAAATGTATTATACTTCAGTCTAAAGTGTCTAAGATGAAACCACTTTGATGAATGTAGGTCGTAAAAATATGGTTAACGCTTGAATCGTTCTAATTTTCGCATACCAATTAATTTACACTTCCTATATTTTCTTGCGACTGCTTAATATTATCCAAGGGCACGCTAACGTTATCATATTTACTTACCGTGCCAACGGTATTAGGTATTGAAGCCACCAATGGATATCGATCTTTTATCTGTCACCATTGGCTATCACTATGGGCCTACTATGGAGTCGCGGAGAACCTAACGGGTAACCGGGGCTCCGGCTCGACGTGTAGGAGAAGGAACGGGGTGGTTTTTAGTCAGTAAGAGTCTGACACTCCCTTCCGCCTCACCCAGGCATTCATTCGATGATGTTCCCCCCTGAAAATAAAATGGGCCTACTATGGTTAAGTATGATTAAATAATGACTTACCATAATTATAGATATCTGCAGCCACGTTGGAGATCGCAGTGTAACGACTCAGGTATATGAGACAGCTGCACCGCTCGTCTGTTGTCCATTGTTCAATCAGTAGTCCTTTAGTTGGCTCCTACAACATATCCGTTAAGAAGAGAAGTAATGACAAAATGTAGTTTTTGTGCGGAATAAGCCGGTAAACGAGCAGACGGATCAGATGAGAATCAATCGGCGTCGCCAATAGATACCCGGGACACCAGAGGCGTTACAAGTACATTACCGGCCTTTTGGGGATTAGGAGTAGGAGGATCGTTGGGGACATTGGGGAAAGGGAGGGTAATTGGGCCTCCGGTAACTTCACTCACACGACGAACCACAACGCAAGCGTTGCTTCACGTCGGTTTTCTGAGAGGCCATGGTATTACTCCGGTCGAGCCGGCCCATTCGTGTCGAATCATGTCTCTCCCACATTTGTAGATGAATTATATCTACAATTGTGCAGTATCTAACTCATTTGCTGCTATCACTTGGCCCATGATAAAAAAGTGGTATTAGCAGTCCGCGTGATACGTAGTGTGTTTGAGCCGATCCCATCCGCCGATCCGTTATTTACAGACCCAGCCAGTGGACATTGTCCAAAACGACTTTAAAATTTAATAATTATTATCGGTTTTGATAATAATCTTCCGTCGGCTGAAGTTGATGTTGATTGCTTAGAAATCTCATACTCAATTTCCTGTTTAAGCACGTTCGCGTAAACTTATTTATGAATGTACAGTGTCAGCAACTAAACAAAGTTTTTATTTCAATTTATTTGATGATGCCCCGAATTTGATAAATAGACATTCCTATATTATAGCTTATGTATGTACCTATGTTGAAAAAAATGCTCTAAAAGTTTGTAACCAAAAGGGACAAACAAAAATCAGTGCACCACAGATATCAAATATTCACGGGGCGCAAAAAATGTAAATCCATAGCTACGATATAGATAATAATAGAGTATAGAGCGAACACTGGCCAGCAAGCGCTCGCCGTGAAAAAGGGGGGAAATGCACAATTAAATTATTAAGTGACAGCTGTGTCGGGCCCCGCTGTCACGTGGTTAGTGCGAGCAGTCGGTCGCGCTTCGATTACCGGGTCGTTGTGTTTTGTTATCTAAGTGCAGGTATTTAATTTGAATGATGTTAATTGGTTTGGTGTTTTTGCGGAAGAATTTTAATTTGAATTTCGTATTTGTTGAGGTTTAATTGCTATTATTATATATCAACACAGAATCGTAGGTATCTATACTTGAAGATTGAGACGGACTCAGTCGGAAAATGGAAATAGACAGGAAACAGCTGATTTTAAACCAAATCTATTTACCCACAAACACCCACAGGTTCGACAATAATTTATTATCCAACCGATAATATTATGAAATCTACCGGTCTGTCTATCAGTCTGCGTAAGAAAGAATTCAAACCATCCTTCAATAAAGACGTTGAAAAAGTGAAGCTACTTTAAAAAAAATGAAGCGCGACGACTTTTCTACTTATTTTCCAGTCTCAGGGGAACTTTTTCCATATTTTTTGTTAAGAGACGACAATGGATCCGTCGCTGCCTCTCATTTTACAATTAGGCTTTTCAATTTTATCTGAATAATGTAACCGCCATTGAAAATACGTAAATAAGTACTTTGATAGCGTAGAAATGACGTGCATTATTTTTAAACTGGCTGACTTGATTTTCGAACGTTTTGTTTTTTTTTTTAATTTGGCCGGCAGTTCTATAAAAAATTGTAATGGGCGATGATAGAAATGGTATTCTTATACGGTAAAATAGTATTACATGTGACCCATAACATAAATAGTGAAAAGTGGGTGTTACATTGCATATTGGCATTAAGTGCCGTAATATGCATCTCTGCCTACTCCTTTGGGGATAAAAGGCATGATGTTATGTTATGTCTTATACGGCCGACATTCATAACCGATTTCAGTCCAAAATCTTTGAATGAAGTTCGGTTTACGATATTAGTAGTTCGATTAGGGACCTATATTAGTAAATAGAGTTAATAATTGTGCCCGGTATATGGCAATAGGCTCACCCCCTATTACATGGGACTCATAACATAAATAGTGAAAAGTGGGTGTTACATTGTACAGTGGTATATTGTGCAGTGCCTACCCCTTCGGGGATAAAAAGCGTGATGTTATGTATGTTAATTATAAGAACCAAAGACTGAAATAACGATACATAATTGTATTTTATTTTATTCATTGTGTAGGTTTTACATTCATAATAATATGTTAGTCAGTTACTACAGCTGAAAATGCATTGGAGATTTTTATAGCTTTGTTTAAAAGCTTTTTTTCCCGAGTTCCGAGTAATGGATACGCTACAGTTCCAATTAAATGCTTGTTACCTTCTCTGTATCGACGTAATGACAAGAGTCGGGAATGTCAGCCATGTTTTTATGCGAAGATTTTGAAATGCGATATGCTTTTTCACATTTTCGAGTAATAATTTTGTTTACAGGGTTACTGTTTTAGTGTTAACATTGATATCTTGGAAAGATTCCAAACTAAGAGCATTAGGTGCATATATAACATACATAAATGCATCAGCAATAAATATATTTTACGAGATCTAAATCTTAATACGGTGAAACAGGAAATCTCCATAAGAAGTTCCAAGTACCAGACCAAGTTATCGAATCATGTAAATGCCTCAGCGAATAAACTAACAGGCACTGGCAGCGTTCAGCACTCAAGACTGAGGAGAAACAGTGTTCCCTCCCTCAAAAACCGTTTTCCAACATTATAAAGAGTGAAGAAAATGGACCCCTCTTTAAAATAAAGACACAATCAGGCTGAGGTCAAAGAAAATAACAGCTAAATGTGGAAAAACAGATTGCTGTGCTAAGCAGGATTGGAAAAAAAAAGTGTAAACACACTTTGATTAAGATAATCTGTTCCATCATGCATCATTTTATGAATTTATCGGAAGTTACTTACCTAAATGTTGTGTTAAAATATAGTACAATAACTAAGTACATAAGAAGTTCTATAGGTCCTTCGTAGTCTTTCACTATCTTTGAGTTTGTCTTGAATAGTTCCATTCGAATATCAAACAAAGCCGTAAAATTTTAAGTAAAATCAATTAATAAAATTAAAGAAACACTTCACATGATATATTCCCTTCGGTATTAATAACAAGAGATAAAAATTAGATCGGACAGAATGCAAATGAAGCCCACGGGCAAAATGCTAATTTCCGTGGGAGAGCCCGTCAAACTTTTTAATCTCATGTGACGTCACTCCCCCCCCTCTTGCCACCACACGACAATGTTGTCAGAGGGATGATTGAAAGCACCTCATTTGTGTTTTTATTACTTTTTAATTTTTTCCCATTTTCTCGAGTGGTCTACTCTGTTTTTAAAGTTTGTTTCTTGTTGGACTACTTTTTTGGTGTAGAAATTATGTGTCTTTTTGATCGTGATTATTTCTATTACAGTGTATATTGTTGTCATACTAGGTACCTAACTAATTATTTTACTAATAAATACTTTTACTGTGGTACGTAATAGTTGACTGCAAGGGTGCGTGGGAAAGAAAGTACAATGGTTGTTTTTTTTCTAGAATTTATTATACTCCAAATACTGATTCTAGCACCTTATAATAAGGCTTATATCTAAACTCTAGTCACGATTATATCAAACCACGTCACGTTGTTTACAATACCTGCTCTCGACAACAAACCAAATCCAATAATTCACAACTCAAATGCACGCACAGCGCACAGAATCAGCGAATGCATTTCCACCCTTACGCATATCGCGACCCTGTCAATTTTGCCCCAACCAAACTAGCAAATACACTTCCAACATTGGAATTTAAACCTTGTTACAAAGAAAACAAGGGTTCTATGTATGGTAAATGTACTTGGTAATATTAGTTGCGTATCGCATGTCATATAATCTGATAGAAATGTCAGTG